CTTGCCTTGCCTTGCCTTGCCTTGCCTTGCCTAACACATCTGTAATCCCTAGTTTGCCAGACTCAAACAAGGGATTACGGACCTTCAGAAAGCAGAGAAGCAGGATTTGAAGCTGAATCCAGGCTGCTTCTGTCCCAAATTTTACACACAGATTGTTCTTTGCTAAAAACCCATCTGATGCAAATGTAATAATTTTTCAGCATGAAATTATCCAACAATCCAAATAAGATTTGTTTGTTAAAGAAATATTTCTCATGTTTAGTCAGGCTCCTTAAATAAGCTCCAGTCTCATTATTTCTTTATTTTGACTTAGTATCTGGAGTCTTCAGAAAACCTTTATTAACTTGACTGTTTCTGACTAACATTTGCAGTATTATGACACTAGATTTGCTAAAACATGGAAAAGGCTGAGGAAACGTTTTATGGAGAACAGACCTCTGAGGTGGTTAATTGATTTTAAAATCATTCTGGGAAGAAACTCGGATCAACATCAGTGTCTGACTTCAAAAACATTTACACCTTTTAAAATGCCTTTCCAGAAAGTTTCAAATCGGTGTCGCCACAAAGGTTGGGCCGCCATCATGGTAAATAAGGGTGTGATAAGGCGGACATTTTGCAAGGTAGTCAGCGTCCCTCATGGCAACAAAAACTGCCAGAATGACCAGAGAATCAATTTGGTCTGAAGAAATGACAAATAAAAAGAGCATGCAACCCTTCCAGTGTTTGGAACATTATTTAAAAAAAAGAATCAAGTTAAAGTTATGTCTCCAAAAGAGTCACTGAGGTCATAACTCAGTTACTGTAGAATTAAAGCAACTAGACAGGCTCTGTTCTTGAAACTCCTCTAGAACCTCTGGAGATAATTTCACAAAGGAGGAGTCTTTATAAAGTGAAGAACATTATGGATAAGAGTCACCATCCGCTTCAGAAGATTTTTAAACAAAAACAGAGCATCTTTAGTCAGAGGCCGCTACATATCTGGTGGAAGACAGACCTCTACAGAAATCCTTCCTGCCTGCAGCATCAACACCTACAACAACAACAACGAGTTCCTGCAACGTTTAATTTCCCTTAGCGGTTAATGAAGTACTTTTGGATTGAATTTAAAAGGTTCTGCTGGGAACAGAAATTTAAAGTTTCCTCCTCTGAACCAAGCTGCAGTTTTCATGTGAAGAAAAGGTGGAAACTTAGAGATTGTCTTTTGTATTTTAAAGTGAATGTTGCCTGAATGCGCCAAGTCAGTGGAGATACTGCAGAAGAACATTGTGGCTTAAAGGATTAAATGTTTTCCCAATTAAATGACGTTGCCTTGCTGTCTTAGTATACATTATTCTGCATTTTACACCGAATTTTGCTTCATTTGTTAGTGAATTTAAGCATTTTTGGTATTTAGCATTATCAGACCATATACCAATGTACTTTGCAGACAAACACTTGGTGTTTATTGCTTTACTCTAACAAAGCTTTCATATTATGTTACAATACCATAAGTTACAGTTAAACATCAGGTCTAGCTGTCAGGAACAGATGAACCACCAACGTGTAGCTTTGTGTGGATTTTAAGGACGACAAGGAAAGTTTTTCTGACAGCTTTGAATATAAATATGAAAAAATAGATACATCTGTGCAAACCTAAGAGATGACAATCCAATGATTGTATTGGTTAAAAATAAAAAAGCAAGGTATCCACGGAAACGCATATATGCATACTTTAAATGATCATTAGTGTTGAATACATATTAAAACCTTGTTATTCTTTAATCCTATTAAAAGACAATCTTAGTCCTCCAATAAATTGGATCCCTCAGGTCCATTGGTATAACCAGTTATCCATTAGCATTACAGCATTCTCTGTTTTAGGGGAGGGGTGGCCTAGAGGTTAGGGCATTGCACTTGGATCCCTGAGGAGTTCGACCCCCACTCCCACAGACTGCCACTCTGGGTCCCTGAGCAAGACCCTTAACCCCACACTGTTCCCCGGATGCCGCACAATGGCAGCCCACTGCTCCCCTAGGGGAGGGGTTAAATACAGAAAGGGCAAGAAAAAAAAATAAATTCGTACAGTGTACGCCCGGCTTTAGCTAACACCCCATTTAGCTCTAAAAGCCATTTTTTTTCTGTCAAACTGTATTTCTCAAACTACTATTGCCACGTCACTCTGTTTGCCTTTTCTGGTTTAGTTTTAGGTTTTCATCTGGTTGGAAGTTATGTGCTAAACAAAACTTTTTGTTTAATCAAACTAATTTGGCAGCGTTTTTAACCAATCTATATTTGTAAAAGGGCAAACCAATACAAACTGGTCACATTGGTCACCGAAATACTGGTTAAGTAGCATAGCAACTTTCAATAGCAGGTCTTGAACCAACAACCAGTGGAAAGGAAGGCAATGAATTCCAGCTGACACCTTTTAAATTAGTCGCTTTTCCCCAGGAAGCAATACTAAATACTAGTAATACAACTGAAACCAGTGGCTAGCTCAGATTCAGATCATTAGATTGTTTAATCTAACTAAAATAGCTTTAACCAACTAGATTGGTTGCTTTCCAAACCAATCTATTCTTAGAATCTATCCAACTGACAGCAGCTCTCCTCCACATCTTGACTGAACACTGAGGCTCTTTAAACGTCTGTTAAAGTTGGCGGGCGATCTGAACCACTTCCTGAAGACGTCACATGGCAGGAGCGAGTCTCCGGACATAATCGATTTTGGCCCCTCCCCTAAATGAAGCAAGACTCGATACGCGATTCACTGAAACACCCCCTCCATTACTCCACACACACCTACAGGCCTTGGCTCATCTCATAACATCACTATTGTGCCCTAAATTAACTACAAGTATCAGGATGTTGCCTCCACATCAAGTTAGTGAGATTTACCGGTGAGATTCTTCTCTTTCCTAATTTGGGGGGGGGGGGGGGGGGGGGGTGGCCTGGTCATCAACCTCAATCACATTTGTCAATCAGCTAAAATAGACAAAGAACAGATGGAACATTGCATTTTGAATAAGAAAAGCTTGATATGGAAGTGTTCATTCATTCAGCGCCACACCTGGTCCCTGATTGGTTATCGCATCTCAAAAATACACAAATGAAAACTTTTCCACTTCTGTGAGTTTAGTTTTGCATCCTTCGCTGGTTTGGCCAAACTTACTTTTGGAGGGCATTTATCTTCTCAGCTTTGATTCCTCGCAGCAGCTCTTCAAGCAGGTCAGGGCTTTCAGGTAAAGGAGGAGATGCAGGTTTTGAAGGTGTGTGGGTGAACCAGCCGACCAAGATACCAACGAGAAATATTCCCAAACCGGCAAGAAAGTATCTGTGCAGAAAAACAGGGAGGCGTCTCAGTACAAACCAGCAGAAAGGGGCAGAGAGTTGCGTCACGTTAGATAACATTATCTGAGCAACAACAGGACTGAAAAGGTGGATCAAGGTACAATGAAAATAAAGGGAATTTAATGAATTTATTATCTGAATTTGTGGAATGTATTATAGTAGATCTATGTTGCAGGTGGAAAACAGAGCATTATACATTCACTGTTGCAGGTGATATAACATTAACATTTCCTGTTATCTGGGTTGAGGATAAATTATATGAGAATTATTCATGCGCTTTACTGTTGCATTGCCCCCATAAAATGTCATCCTTAATAGAGAAATGAATAAAAAATGTGTTTGATCAGTCTGAGGAGAGCCGCTTTCCCTTTGACAATCCAAAAGGTTCCGTTGTCATTTTGCTGGAAATGTTTTCCGTCACACTGAAGAACCACAAAGACACGCAGGACTAGATCACTGTAGCTCCTGTACTTCTATGAGGAACTGACATATTTCCCAGCCTAAAATGATTTTAAATATGTTGTTAACATTATATTTTTGTCTTATTAAAATGGAGAAGTGTGTCAGCCTGATATGAGGTGATAAATAAAACATCTTAATGGTTGCTTTATTACAGATAGTCTGGTGTGAGAGTGGACCTTTAACTACCTGAGTATGAAACCGTGAAGTCTCCTTTGCCCTTTGTGGCCGGCGGACCTGGTGAAGTGAGAGATGTAGTTGGGATCTTCTTGGAGTCGTTCGAATCGTCCATGAGGTGAAACTGAGACCGAGTTCGGCATCGGTTCCAGGAACTCAGGGTCAGGATCCGGACCAGGATCTGAGCAACCTGGAACTCATTTATTAAAAAAATTTGTTTATTATATTAACATGCTGCTGCAGAAACCAAGAAAAAAGAATAAAATAAAACAAATCAGCAAGTTTACAAATCAGGAATAAAATCTAAGGGAAAAACAACAGTGCAGTGGAATCAAAAGGTGGTATATCTGGTTTTATATATCTTTTCTTTACCTCAAAGATGTATTTAGGCCAATGATTGGGTCCGTCAATGAAAATGAAAACTACCAGTGCTGGGAGCAGGTACCTTCTATTGATAAAGGAGTTATATTATTTTCAATTTAACACAAACTAACTGAGAGTAAAGTTAAATGCTTAGAGACAGATTCTGCAGAATCTGTTAGTTCAATCTCTAACTTTCTGCTCTCTCTGCTTTTTCTCATAGTAGCTTCATCTGGTCTGTTCCTGTTTGGCTGTGACTCCATCCTGGAGAGAAATATCAGCTGTGCTGCTGCCATCAACACCTTTGTTTCTAGATGTTGGAGCTTGGCCTGTTTTCCAGTGTAGTCCTGTTTCTCTGACTGTGACTAACTGGATGTGCTCTCTTCATCCTCTGACATGGGAGCTGGCTCGGAGCTCGTCTGCCTGGCTGTGTGTTTCCTGGACGGGGCCGCCTGTGGAGCTGGTTGACAGTTGCCTTTTGTATCTATGCTTCTTTTTCTATGTCTGCTTCTGTCTCCTTGAACCCCAGTGGGCCTCAGCAGATGGCCGCTCACACTGAGCCTGGTTCTGCTGGAGGTTTCTTCCTGTTCAAAGGGAGTTTTTCCTCTCCACTGTCGCTACAAGCATGCTTAGTGTGAGGGATTGCTGAAGAGTCAATGAGTCGATGCAATCAGCTGGTTTTCCTTAGATAGAAAACTTTGAATCAATCTGACTGGATGATCTGGTGAACTGTGAGATGACGTGTTGAGAATTGGCGCTATAGAAATAAACTGAATTGAATTTAATTAATTTTATCATTTTTTTATACACAATAGTAAACAAAACAGAAAGAAGAGCTCTTTAAGCAATTAATTTTTTTTTTAAAGTGCAGCCTTGAAAACAGTAATGTCAATGCATTCTCTTTACCGTTTTCAGGGCAGAGATGAAGCTAAGATAGAGGTCTATGTGATGCTGATTGGCTGACAGGACCTAATGTGGGCGGGGCTAAACATACAATGATTGCTCACACCCCCTAACCCTCGCCAAAGGGAGAGAAATGAGCCGATGGTGGGTCTGCAGATTCAGAGGCTGTGAGCTCCGACCGTCCGCCCTAGGCCCTAAATCACTATAGAGACTTTATAGTGAACTCATTAACTGACCGTTCAGACAGATGATCACTGCTTTTCGCTTCCCGTTGGTTCTTAGCTCTTAAGATAGATTTATAGAAAAGAGTTTTCAACAAAACAAAGGTATTGGGCAGATATTTGTGCTACAGCTCTGTACTGATAACATCTAACCAAATGAGATTAGCAATTTAAAAATAATGAACCTTCATCACTGGATGATAAATACTGCATGAGGTTTAGCTCTATGCTATTATGCATGTAAAGAGAAAACAGAGCAGAGAAAATACCTCTGATTTTTCTCTTATGATTATTTAATGGTTCACAATCGTGAGAATCCACACTGAGTTCTCATTAGTGCATTAAAATGTTTTATAAATGATTTACTCATTCAGTTTCACAACAACTTAACATGATTAGTATCAGTAAAGCCAAACTACCAGACCAACCATTCATGTTGTAAAGGGTTATATAAACCTCATAAAAACAAAAGCTGTGACCAACCTGATCTCTGACAGTCGCTGTGCTGCGTCTGCGTGCGGTCGCCGCTTGTTCCTGCTTCCTGTAGCTCCTCCTTGTCCAGGTCCCAGTCAAGTTCCAAGGATCCAGAGCGGTGCAGAACTTCTCCATCCAGTGGCCCAGTCTGGGCGTCACACACTTTACTATAAGCCATGAAGTCACCTAGAATACATAGACACAAAAAAAGACTATTTTCTTTTGTAAAGGTGTCGTTTCTAAAAACCTGTCTGCTGCAGAAAGAATAAAGTTCTGATGAAGAAAAGCTCTTTGAGGAAAAGCTACATCACCACACCGCAGCTCTTATGCTTCACTTCCCCATCTAGTTCAAACCGGGCCGTGGCGGTTCGAGAAAATATTCCAATTCTATTCAGTTTATTTCTATAGCTCCAATTCCCATCATGTCATCTCAGGTCACTTTATAGATCCAGATCAACCAGATCATCCAGTCAGATTGATTCAAAGTTTTCTATCTAAGGAAAACCAGCTGATTGCATCGACTCATTGACTCTTCAGCAATCCCTCACACTAAGCATGCTTGTAGCGACAGTGGAGAGGAAAAACTCCCTTTGAACAGGAAGAAACCTCCAGCAGAACCAGGCTCAGTGTGAGCGGCCATCTGCTGAGGCCCACTGGGGTTCAAGGAGACAGAAGCAGACATAGAAAAAGAAGCATAGATACTAGAGACTGACATTTTTTCGGGAATCCCACGGGTCACGGGATTCCCGTGGGATGGGAGTCAGTATTATTAACGATCTTGTGATTGGGACGGTACAGGATTAAACATTAACGGGAGCAGACGGGAGCAGGAGCAAACCAATAGTAACTAAAAAAAACTAGGATCAATGCCAAAAAAAAAAATAAAATAGAAAGAAAAAAAAATCCAGTACTGGCGCCGCAATTTGTTGTTTTATTAGTCAAGTAGTTTATATTTCTCTTTAATTACATAGATGACTCCTAGATAGCTGCAGAGACAGATAAAATCCATCCGATTAAATATTACAACTATTTCTATAATAATTCTCTTTCATTGAGGCATATCTTTTTGAATATTAAATTGCTGTATTTTGTTGTCAGTTTTCGGTTGATTTACTCAATTTTACATTTTAAAGTAGGACATTCCACATGGAGGCGTCACTGCTGCCACCCTCAGGTTTAGAGGAGAACTGCTTGTTCTGGAGGAGATGAATTACGTCCACATGGGAACAACAATCTGCTGGTGAGGGTGATTTATATTGTCCCCCCCCGGCCCTCCCTCTGGCTCCTCCCCTGGAAGCAGTCATTTATTCCTCTAAGGACCGGGGTGGGAAGCTCCTGCTCCTCCAACCAATGAGTCAGTTTCACTCAGCAGAATCTGCTTCATCTAAAGTTGTTTAAAGAAGCTAAAAACCATAAATCACAGAAAAGGTCACTGAAGCCCAAATGGTAGAAAAATCCAAGAGCTGACCACAACAATTTCCCAGGATGAGAAACTTTTAGATTTACAGCAAATCTAAAAGACAACATGTCCTACAAGCATTTGGAGTTTATCCTTTAGTGGAGAGGAGGCCTAATGGGTAAAGCTTGGAATCCAGAGGTTCTCAGTTCAAGCTCGGCTCCCACTTACTGCTGCTCTGGGTCTCTGAGCAAGACCCTTAACCCCTCACTGCTCCCCGGGCGCCGCACAATGGCAGCCCACTGCTCCCCATGGGGAGGGGTTAAATGCAGAGAGGGAATTTCTCCAGTTTGAAATCAATAAAGTTCAGTTATTATTATTATTATTATCCGATCCATCAAAAGCAGTTCCTCTGAGGTTAGGGAGTCTCTAACACAGTAAACAGCTGAACTAAACTGGCTGGTAACAAACCTCTGCTCATCTCAGCAGCTCCTAAGAATCATAAAAAAAAAAAAAAACAACCCAAGCACAAGTTGGTAAAAAGACAAGATTGCTAAAGTATTTGCTCATCTATTTTCAGAGTCAGATGAAATTGATCGACATCCTCTCCTTAATCCACAGGCTTTGTTATGATGTCAGCCCATCGCTGCAACTGCAGAAGCTCCAACGAAGAGGCCCAGCCTAACTTCTTAAGAACAAACATCCAATATAAAACCCTGTAATCCCTCCTGCACCCAACACCATGTAGTCAGGCAGGTTTTATTCTCCTGGCAACTGTCAGACTCAGACTTGTCCATAAAATTGCCAGACGGAGACGTGTGATTCATAGCTCCTGGGAACGTAGAATAACATTGGAAATATCCCATATTGCGCCACATTGGGGAAATCCAGGTGTATCAGTGGCTCTGCTCTGTGGTGGATTTACAGAATGCTTTACAGCCCTGCATTCAATGCCTTTACATTGAGCTTGATTATGTAAGGCTAGCAAGCAGCCCCTGCATGCTCTGTTGACTATGTAGAAGGTTGGCAACCTTTGCACGCCTTGCCTTTCAGCCTCTGCCTTACCTCTCCCGGTGGCTTTCCTTGGCCTTGCTGCTGTCATTGCAAAAAAGCATCGTTAAAGCTCTGCATGACGGACAAGCACCAGGAATATTTATGCATCTGTCCTGGCCTGAGCCGTATATAGTCTTATAGCAAATGTCATGGTATGTCTTTAAGTTTAATTTTGCTTTTTATGTCGTCTGTCAGAAGGTGCATTATGATTAGGCAGCTAAATTTACCATGCATGAAGCACACAGAGAGAAAAGGGTTTGTTATTTGAACTTTGAGGGAATTGCTCGGTGAATAAACAAGGCATTTTAAGGATTTCATTTTATTTGATGTTTTTTTTAAATTTGTTTTTACATATTAGCTGGTAACAAAGAAGCCATCTACAGCAGCTAAGACAGTTAGCAATAAAGAAAAATCTAATATCCATTTTAAAAAGAGATGCAATCACAACAGGGACATAAGAATGAACTCTTTGTATAAAACCTTATTTTTATCATGATTAAATGGCTTTGATTGAACATATAATGTGACTATTATTCCAGAGGTTGGCTTTTTATTTACATCATGATTTCTCAGATATCCAAATGTTACATTTCTACCAATATGTCAGGAGGCGGAGGAGAAGAATGGTCGGTAGATCGAATAGAGGAAGGAGAGGATGCAGAAAATAAGAGACGAAGCAAACAAGGAAACAGGAAGTCAGAGGAGACAAGGGAAGGAGTTTAGAGATGAAAGAGAAGGTGAAACGCAGAGGGAAGAGGTCTGGGAGTTCCTTGGCATCAATCTTCAATGCTCCACCACACTTTCATTACTTCTAGCTCAATGCAGATGAAGGCTCCTCTCACTAAAATGGAACAAAAGTTCATTTGAGAAGTGACCCTCTGTTAGAAGCCCCACCGAGTGCAGACAGCCTCACCGGCCTCCTACTGCAGCTGGGGACACCAACCCTGTTAATACATTTTATCATTGCTGTCTGCACGCAGGCTTTGGCTTTGCAAGGATTCACTGTTTTCTAGTTCTATAATAAAAAAACAGATTATTCCCTTTGTAAGAAAGGAACAATTTTAACAGTAATAAATAACTTTTTACATCTATTTTCAAATAACCGTTACTGTAAGAATTTACATAGCTGAATAGTGGTTATTTATATTGTTAAAACACTTTACAGTACAGCATTATTTTTTTACTCTTCACTATTATGTTATTCTTATTTTTAATGTCCACATTGTGTGACCATTTTTTTAATAATATTTTTGCTGTAAACACCAGAATTTCCCCATTTTGGGACAAAAAAAAAGGGTTTTCTATTCTATTCTAAATACAATGGTATAAATGAATGATAAAAATAATACTTCAATAAATATATTGACACATTAGAAGACGAGCTTTAAGGGTTTGCTTTCCAAAGCAATCTTCCCTCACGGCCTACTTCCTTAAAAGTCATAAAGTGCAATCAACCCAAGATGCTGGTTAGACAGCCAAACACGGCGTTTAGCATGATGGAGGCAGACAGACATCGAATGAACGCAGGGGAATATTTTCCTCAAGCATTTAAATCGACAACAACTTCAGCTGCTTTAGTTAAAGGATATGAAACACGCTGTCAATCAAAGCTCTTCTCCTTCCTGCAGCCCCGAGGCAGCAGCAGGAGAAAGGAAACAATCTATTAATATAACGAAGACTAATACATTCCACTTGAAAATAACCTAATAGAGGCCGTCCTCTTTTAGATTTCCTACAGTGGCAGAAATGAGAAAAAACACTTCAAATAATTAAAGGCGCAGAAATGACAAAAAGTAACGCAAACATAAAAAACTAGACATGCAAATTCAAGAATTCGACTGAGACACTAAAGGCTGGTTTATGTTCAGAAAGCCGGTCGTCTGCGTGTGTCGCAGTGAATGCAGATATGCCCCGCCCCCTTTGGCAGACCCTCTACTGCACCTCTCCAAAACTTTAGGTGGCCGCAGACAGGAGGCCTCTGATTGGTCAGATCTACATCCTCTCTACTCTATGAGTATTTCCTGTTTGGTTCCTTACCGGCTGGTTTTGTTTGTCTGACCGCCATTGTGGAAAATGACTGGTGAAGATGGAGCAGCTAGAAGAGCGAAAACGCTGGGACCCTTTTTCTTCCTGGATCCCCGCTCTTTTTGGCCCTCATGTCCCTCCGTTGTCGCACAAACTTTCCCCCACTTCCTCACCGCCTCGGCCGTATCTAGACCCACAGCTGGTTCCTGATTGGCCCTCTGGCGTTGTGGCGTGGAATAACGTAGCGCAGACCACGCTTCAATATTGGGCATGAATCAAAAATATCTGTGACAAACTGCTGCGGAAGGATAACCAGGCCTGCAATAAGTAAAAAGAATAAACCTCCAGATAACAGAAGTTCTCCAGACCATTATGGGAAACGATCACCTGCTCAGACTAGAGGGGGTTAAGGGTCTTGCTCACGGACCCAGAGTGGAGGCTGTGGGAGCCGGCAGACCAAACCAGATGAAAGTGCGCATTCAGCGTCTGCTCTGCTGATAATGCAAGCGTAGAAGAAGAAATGTGCTGTTTACCTGTGCAAAGAAAGAAACAACGAAAGAAAAATGTCTGAGGACTTCAGTGTTGAGGAAGAGCATGAGTTCTTTGCCGAGCTGAATGCGCACTTTCATCTGGTTTGGTCTGCCGCGGCTTCCGTAGACTCGTGAACGCGCTTTCAGGAAATCCTATACACTACTGTTTATGCTCTAAAAAC